TGGCATGCCTGCGGGATAACAGCGTACACTAGCTGTGCTGTACACCGCAATATCTCCTTCCATTTTACCAGTCCTGCTTAAGAGCCCCCAGTGTGATGATGGCTGTGCGCTATGGGGACGTGATAGCAGAGGACAGCAGCTCTGGCCATTTAAGGAAGTTATCATAAATTAGCAAGGTTTAGTTACATCAATGCAGTCCCTTTGTACACACTTTCATTTAATTGGAATTATTTAGCTTAAGACACTTAAGACACTGTGTAGTGATGTGCTTAGCGATGAACAACACTCACTACACCATTGTAAGCAGTGCTGTACGCCCGAGTGCTGTGCTGCCGTCAACAGAGCTTTCACCGTGGTGCAAAGCACTGGGTTATCTCTGCAAATCATCCATAAAGCTGACGATTCTCTGATTCAAATGACGAATCTGTAGCCAAAGCAAGACACAGACACCAGCCAGCTGTGCATCGCTTTCCTCTCAGATGCAGACATAACCTTCCGCCTGAGCCCCGGGGGCTTGGCTGACACAGGGGACTATCTGAAGAACAGCTGGATGGAGCTGGACCTGGGAAAGATGGAGAGGATGTTTATAGGAGGGGGAAGGACCAGAGAGAAAAGAGAGTTACTGCCTTATTATGCCTCATAAGGGAATTCTGCTTCCAGATTGTTAAAGGCTTCATTAATATTAAATTGTCTTTGTTTCGTGATTTGAGATAATCAGATGAAAGGTGCTACAGGAGTGCGCAGTATTAGTGTGATGATTGCGCTCTGACCTGCTGAGTGAATGTGAATTATTCTGAAAGCACAGATCCACACTGAGGATTCCTGCACAGCTCTGAATATGAATGTCACATATGAGCCATAGCTTTACAAAGAAATATGAATTTAATTGCTGATGATTTCCACTTTCTCACATAGTTTTATAGTCCTAATTAGCAGAATTAAGAACACATTAAGACTGCTTGAGAAAGGAAGTATCATATGGTTAGTAGCTAGATTAAATGTTAGACAAATTTGTGGAGGATTAAAGCATTTTGTTTCTTTATCATTCTTTATCCTGCAGGAATTACAACTACCCACTTAATACTGGATACTGGAATACTCCCAATATTTTTTAATATATTATGCACTGTGATCCAGTCTTTGAGACTAGCCTTACCAAAGTTACACAATTTATCTAGTGAAGGGCTGACCTGAATGTGTTTGCCAGAGCTTCGGCTTATTTTTTATTTTAAGCTGGTTTACTTGGATTGAAAAAATCCAGTATTAGCCAAAATTTAGTTTTGTTAATGAAAAACATTCAAGAGAGCAATTTGTGGACAAGAACTCTAACGGACTAAAAACAAATAATGAGAAGAAAGTATCAAACTGTCACCTAGAGCTGGGAGATGACTGGGAGTGTTTGTTTGTTTAGTCAGGCCTCTTCAGAAACACTTGAGAAATTCTGGCTTTAGGGGTATATTTTGCTGCATGTTGATATTTCCAGCCATGAGCTGGATGTTTGGCAGGCATCTCCTGGGAATCTTTCCATTGGGAGTGGGGGATTTGACTTTTCACCATGGAACTGGGATGAGGAGGGCTGTTGGGATCCTCACCACTGCCAGCCAGCCTGGCTGCCTCGGGGCAGCCCTCCTGTGGGTCTCTGTCCCACCAAACCTGAACACTGGGGAATGCTAGCTGAGGTGGGAGCTTCAGACTAGCACAAAATCCAGACACTTGCATTTGCCCAAACATATTACAAAATTAATGGCACGGTGTTGCAGCCTGTCGATCTCTGCTTGTGCTGCCCACCTGTCTTCCAGGCATCCAGCCTGCAATCAGATTGGCCCCTCCAGATCTCTACTAGCTTTACTGAAATTCTGGACAAGATAAATATCTACCCACGTGGATCTGATATCAGGATCATAAAGTGAGTCTGTCTCTCTACTCAGAACAGGCACTGTGTTTATCACTGACATGTATTGACTTAAAGACACTGTCAGTACTTACAAAGTAATAATTCAAGCTGAGCTACTCATTGCTGTCACCACCCACAAATGCTGTTGTGTTTATTCAATTAAGAGAGCTAAGTAGATAAAATACTTCTAAATTTCAATCATTACTTTCAGATTGCTTACCAGATACAGGACACAAAATAATAGTGCGGGAAACTTAAAGTGATCTGGGATTCATTTCTCCAGTACAAGCAACATTGTCTCTAACCTCAGTGGCACAATTCAGCATTCCTGGCAAAAATAATTTCACATAATAATAGGGAATTAAATACAGTGATTGAGGCTGGTGTGGAACATACATAGATAAATTTAGGTCTAAGACAAGGATATGACTGTAAAACAAAAGCTGAGACATATGGTTTCTGGTTACATAAAAAATTAAGAGCTAAATACTGTCTGCCCTGAGGAAGAACATTTCCCAGAGCGTCTTCTGCTTCAGGAATTCTGCCAGACAGAGCAGGAGCGTTCAACACAGGCTAAAAGAGTGAATGTGCATGAACTTCAATATCAGCTCAGTGAACCTTCTACAGACTGTGAGCTATTGAGCCACAGCTGTCACAGCATGCCTGGCCTGCATTTGCTGTGATAGCAGCATATACGCACAAGTGACCGACTAAACACCTTCTTTGACTACGTCCTGCTGTGATGCACAGGCTGGTTCATTCTACTAGCAAATTTTGGAGTCCTTCCCTAATTCTGTATGGGATAAGAGGATTCAGACTTAAGGATGTACTGAGTTCGAAATGTGCATATATGACTAAGGCAACATGTGTTCTGCAGTTTGATAGCCATGGAATTTGAAGAAAATCCTGAAGACTTGTATCAAGTATAGACAACACCTGGTCTAAGGAGCAACTCTGACGGTGCAGCTTCCTACTACACGTAGGACTCCTTAGCACCTTACCACTACCAGAAGTGGGAGGTCCTCTTTCCTTCTCCATTGTCTCCCAGCAATTAACGTACCAATTAACACTATTTGCTTGTTTTTGCTCCCCTAGTATTCCACTGCTTTAGGAAGCTGAATTGTGCTAGGAAGCCATTTTTCAGCTCAGGCCATGCCTTGGCACTGCCCCCAGGACGTGGGA